ATTCAAGATTAATTTTTTTATTTAAATTTTACTATTTCGGATTTGTAAACATTGTATTAATTTTATTTTGAAGTATTTAGGTTCACTATTCACTTTAAACTTTGTATTAATATTTGTTTAAACTATCCACCTAAACTATTTTATTTTGAAATTACTAGTTTTTTAATTAACTTTTAATTAAATATATAGTTTTAAAAATAATTTGGCCGGGTGGGGTAGGCTAACTCAATTCTTATATCATGGACTAGGGTCCACCTTACCTTGTGCACCCTAATATAAAACGATATTCAAATTATGTGTTTGCATTTAACATTTTATATACCTTGAGTTATTATAAATTACGTGCTTACTACAATTAGCATATTGTGTATATGCAGTAATACAGATAACATATTATATGTTTATAGTTAATAAATTATATACCTATAATTAACCTATTATGTGTCTTCATTAATTTATTTATAGATATATAATCCGAATGTTATTTTAGACCAAGATTCACAATACAAGGTGGACCTTAGTCCATGGTATAACTTGTCACGCTAACATTTTCCAATTGTTATATCGTGCACCAGAGCACAGAATGCATTGTGCGCCCTAAAAATCTCTTGTTTCGTATGTAAGTAATTGTATAATAGAATACACATAAACTCCTAACATAATACATAATACACATAAACTCCTAACATAATACATAATACACATAAACTCCTAACATAATACATAATACACATAAACTCTTAAGGTGCACAGTACATTGTGTGACCTGGTGCACGATATAATTTGCCAATATTTTCTAGGCTCTCCATTATGGTAAGCTTTGATAGGCCTTGCCCTGCCAGACCGCTTTAATGGTACTTCCAATTGTAAGTTAATTTTTATTTCTAAGTCTAACGTTACATAGAAAGTTTAAAATTAAATAAAAAAAAAAACATCTTTAGATAGTTGTTTCGTTTCATAGGTTTGACTCTTTAATTTTATACTGAATTATACGATATATTTTATCCCAACTTTTTTTTTTAAAAACATATTGATGGATTTAATTCATCCGGGGTGGCCCAAATTATTAAACCCAGATAATAATATGTACGAAATAAATAATATAATGCAGAGATATCGTAAGGTCGCAGGGACCGTATATTGTATTAATTATCGCTAATAAGCTATTACAAGACTTGATTAGGGCAATAATGCTAGAAGATAGTAGTTCAGGAATATGTTGTGTCCTTGTTTAGGACAAGATGGGGGCTTTTATATCAGCTCAATCCCCAACCGCACCCCTAGAACCGGGGGTGGTTAGATCGGCCCGCTTTGACCGCGTCCCCTCCGGGACCGGGTCGAAAGTGGGGCGACTCGACATGGCCGAGCTGGGCATGTGCCGAGCTCGGCCTAGCCTTCAGCCTAGCCGAGTTCACCATGGACTGGCTCGGCAGCAGCCGGGTCCATGGTGACGAGCTCGGGTGCACGAAGCTCGTCCGTTGCCGGGCTCGGCCCATGGCCGAGTCGCTTTGGGCCGACCCGGCCACGACCCAAGAGATTGGGCCGAGGCGTCTCGGGTCCGTCTCTCTGGGTCGGTTCGTTCCGGGTCCAATATATCAATCACGAGTCCCCCACTCTCTTCGTTGTGATAAGTCGACAACGATAGAGAGTAGACACATTGCGAGCCGACTCCCACGCGATTGCCAGGAGTTGATAATTAGCCGACCTCGTCCAAATAAAATCTTCGTTGCGGATAGAATTTCCCTTCAGGAAAATCCTCACCAGATATGGTAAAATCCCTATTATGTCCACCCCCCACCTGGAGAAGGGGATGACCGAGCTGATCGGGGTGTAGTTCGTGGCGGGTCGGCCGGGGCCGACCTGAAAGTGCTGGCATGTCTCACAACTCAATGCGTAGTCGGCACACTCTTTGGCCATTCTCGGCCAAAAGTACCCCTGCAAGATGGCTCGGCGGGCCATGGTGAAGGCGCCCTGGTGGGCGGAGCAGGTCCCTTCGTGGATTTCTTCCATGACCGACCTGGCTTTGTCCGGGTACAAGCAGCAGAGTAGGGCGCTGTTGTACGACTTCTTATAGCGCGTGTCCCCCATGATAACATATGTGGGGGCACGCCACTTCACTAGCTTGCCATCAACCTCATCAGGGGGTAGCGTACCTTTCTGCTTGTACTCCTTAAGGTAGTCCAACCAACAGGGGGGGGGGGGGGGTCGACCTTGTATCGGTAGGACTGGTAAGACTCCAGACTCGACCTTTCAAAATCTTCAACTCAGGCAATTTTTGAGATGTGCTCTTGGCCCCCTGGCTGAGTTTGGACAACATGTTGGCATCCGTGTTTTGATCTCGGGGTACTTGTAGGACTTCATAGGTTATTAGCTGGCCCAGGAGCTGGAGCACCACATCCCGGTACCTCTTCATCCTCTCGTCACTTGCCTCGAACTCTCCTGTGACTTGGCGCACTACCAGCCTAGAGTCACATCGGATCTTGAGCTTCTCGACCCTCATGTTTAGTGCCAGTCGGAGCCCCCCGAGGAGCGCCTCGTACTCGGCTTCATTGTTGGACAGCTTGAAGGCAAAACGGAGGGCGTAGTAGGCTCTGAACCCCTCGGGTGTGATGAGGACGACCCCACCCCCGCAGCCTTTTGGTCCCGAAGCTCCGTCTGTGGACAGGGTCCACCACTCCTCATTTTCATCTCGGGCCTGCTCGGTGGCTTCCCGGGTAGTGCACTCGACTATGAAGTCGGCTAGTGCCTGCCCCTTGATGGTTGGGCGAGTCCGAAACTGGATGTCGTATTGGCTTAGCCGCATGGCCCACTTGACCAACCTGCTGGCCGACCCCGAGGCCCTCAGCACCGCATCTAGGGGCTGGTTGGTAAGGACGTGAACAGGGTGGGCCTGAAAGTAGTGGCCGAGCTTCTTTGTGGTGATGTCTACCGCAAATATAGCTTTCTCGACGGGCGTGTACCTGATCTCCGCTCCCCGTAGAGCTCGGCTCGTGTAGTACACGGGCCGTTGGACCCCGTCATCGTCTCGGACCAGCACAGAGCTGACCGCGGCCTGGGAGATGTCGAGGTACAAGTGTAAGACCTCCCCCTTAACGGGTTTGGCTAGTGGGGGGAGCGACATCAGATATGTCTTGAGATCCTCGAAAGCCTTTTGACACTCGGGAGACCACTCGAACCCTTTGGTCTTCTTGAGTACTCCAAAAAATGGTAGAGATCTTTCGGCCGACCTCGAGAGGAAACGACCGAGGGCCGCTAGTCGTCCATTGAGGCGCTGGACTTCTCGGAGACACCTTGGGGGTTCCATGTCCAGGATAGCTTTTACCTTGTCCGGGTTGGGCTCTATGCCTTTCTTGGAAACCATGTACCCCAAGAACTTCCCCCCGTGGACCCCGAAGGTGCAGTTCTTGGGGTTCAGACGCAAATTGAAACGCTGCATAATTGAAAATACCTCAGTTAGGTCGTCCGTGTGCAGATTGGCCTCGGTGCTCTTCACGATCATGTCGTCGACGTAAGCCTGCAGGTTGCGGCCGAGGACTTGTTTGAACACCTTGGCTACCATCCGGGTGTAGGTGGCACCTGAGTTCTTTAACTCGAAGGCCATGACCTTATAACAGTAAACCCCTTCTGGAGTGGTGAAAGCTGTCTTCTCCTCGTCGGCCTCCTGCATGAAGATCTGGTGGTACCCCCTGAATGCGTCCAGGAAGCTCATGAGGGCAGACCCTGCTGTCTCGTCCACCAACTGGTCAATGTTAGGAAGCGAGAAGGGGTCCATGGGGCAGGCCTTGTTGAGGTCGGTGTAGTCCACGCACATCCTCCAGGTGGGCGGCTTCGGGGCGAGGACCACATTTGCCAACCAGGTGGGGTACAGGACCTCTCTGATATGACCTATCTCCAAGAGGGTGTGGACCTCTTTTTTCACGAACTCTCTGTTGTCTGTGGAGAGGTACCTCTTCCGCTGTTGGACTGGCTTGACCGAGGGGTCCACGGCCAGTTTGTGTGTGATCACCTCGCGGCTGAGGCCCGGCATGTCTTGGGGGCCCCATGCGAAGATCTCCTTGTAACTCCGGATCGTGTGGATGATGCGAGCTCGGAGCTCATCCGGGAGGCCGACCCCTACCTTTACGACCCGATCGGGGCGGTTGAGATCCAGGGCGACTTCATCTGACTCGACTATGGGCTCGGCCCGAGGCCGACCCGCCTCGTCTCGTAATGCCTTCTCAGCTATGGTGTGGACTCGGAGGTCCTTCTTGCCCATCTGGCGGCACGCTCATAGGTAACAGCTACGACTCACTCTCTGGTCCCCCCGGGCGGTCCCAACCCCATTCGGCGTTGGGAATTTGAAACACAGGTGCTCCATGGAAATCACGCACCTGATGTCCTCCAGGGCAGGTCGACCAAGTATCATGTTGTGGGCGCAGCTGATTTTCACAACCACGAACTCGACCTTCCACTTCTTGAGGTGAGGTGAGGTGCCTATCTCCACTTCCAGGCTAATCCATCCCTCTGTCTCGATCGAGTTCCCGGTGAACCCAGATAGGGGGGTCCTAACCTGCTCCAACTGATCCCTTGGGAGGCCGAGTTGGATGAACGTGTCGTAGTACATGACATTTACCGAGTTGCCCGTGTCTACGAGCACTCGGTGCACCACTACGTTGTTAACGTCCAACTTGATCACCAAAGCATCTCGGTGTGGTAGGGGACCATCCGGCAGGTCGTCATCGGTGAAGGTGATGGGTTCCCTCCGTAGCTTCTTCTCTCGTGGGGCTTGTGTCACCTCCCCAACGTACAGACTCTTCGCCCACTTCTTCCTTTCGGCTTGGGTGTCGCCACCCTCGGGTCCTCCAAAAATGACATAGATGGACCGCTTCTTTGGGGGCTAGGAGTCTTCCGTCGTCTTCTTCAGAGCTTTGGCCGTGCTCTCTTTTGCGGAGTGCCGAGTTGGGTGGCGCGGGGCCACCACTCCCTTTCTTCCATACGTTTTCCCGGCCCTGGCCTTGGGGTTAGCTGGGCCGCTTGATGAAGTGGCCCAGGTAACCCATCTGGATGAGCTCCTCAATTTTCTTCTTTAGGAGGATGCACTCATCCGTGTCGTGACCGTTTTGGCGATGGAACCAGCAGTACTTCTTGGGGTCGCCCTTTGTCGAGATCTTCATGCACTTCTCCTTGGGAAACTCGACGATCCCCTGGTCCTCCGCGTGGGCTAGGATGACACTCACGGGGTGCGTCAGTGGGGTGAGGAACCGTGTAGAGTTCAGCCTGGGCCCCTCGGCATATTCACGACGATGCTGTCGAGATGCCCTGCCGCGCTCCTCCTGGGGGGTTTTGTCCTTCCGACCTCTCCCTTCTTTCTGCTCCCTCTTCCTCTTCTCGACGGCTTCGGTGTCGGCATATCTGGCCGCCCTGTCCATCAGGTCGGCATAGTTCTTCGGGGGGTACCGGATGAGATCCTGGTGGAAAGTACCCGACCTCACATTGTTCCTGAAAATTGGTATAGCCGACTTACCATCGAAGTTGGCGACTCCCATGGCCTCTTTCTTCCACTTAATGAGATACTCGGCGAGCGATTCCGAGCTCTTCTGTTTCAGGTCGCATAGGTCGGCGATCTGCTTCTTCCTTGAGATGCTAGTGGCGAAGTGGGACAGGAACTGTTTGGTTAGGTCCGTGAAGGTGGAGATGGATCCCCCTGGGAGGGACCCGAACCAGTCTTGTGCCTGCCCGTCCAGAGTGGCAAAGAATCCCCTGCATAGGATGGCGTCGGTGGCCTCGGTAATCATCATGGCGGCCCTGTACCTGGTGAGGTGCGACCGCAGGTCCGTGGTCCCCGAGTATGCCTTGATGGTGGGGAAACGGAAATCCTTGGGCAAGGGTTCCTCTATGATAGAACTCACGAACGGGGTGGACAGTATGTCATGGGGCTCCGAGGACCCGTCCCTCTCGTCGAACTTATTCTGGAGCTCGTCCATCCTCCTCCGTAACTGCTCGACCTCGTCCCGATTGGAGCTCGGGACTCGGCCATTTGTCTCACCTGTTCACTCTACCCGGGTAGGCTGTCCGCGTCGCGGGGGAGCTCGGGTCTCACGATCTGGGGATCTACGCGAGCCTGCCTCCAGCCGCAGCCGGGCTCGGGGTCCGTGGCTTGGCGACCTCCTGGTGCCCAATGCTTGTCGGGGCAGCTGCGGGAGCACGATTCTGCGGCGGGTGGCTCGTTGGCGACCGGCCTCAGACCCAGCCTGTCCCGAGCCGACACGCGATCGCCCAACCGCTCCAGGGCGGGCCTGGTTTGGGTTGGGGCCCTTCCATCATCACCGTGCTGATGGTCTCGGCGGGAGCTCTCTCCTCCTCGTCTGTCCGTCGGGCGGGGGGAGTTGACTTCCCCTTATATGGCCCGTACTGGAGGTGGCACGGTGCTCGGCCCGCTGCGCTCCCTGGAGAGAGGTAGAGGTGGAGGCGGTACGGTGCTCGGCGGCAGGCCCCCTTGGGTGGCGCCTAGGTCGGCTTGTTCCTCTTTTCGGAGGCCCGCCGCGACACGGGCCAGTGCCGTGGAGGCTTGTTCGAAGACCGCCACCCCCTCCGGGATGAGGGCGCTAGTTGGAGCAGTAGCAGCGGGAGCCACGGGGGGGGTGGTGCACCACTGCTGCGGTGGTTGGTGAGCTGGGCACTCAGGTCTCCTCCCGACTTGTTGGAGGCGGCCGGTTGGACGCTGGGTGCCCTGTTGGGGCTGTTCCCGTTTGCGACGAGCTGGGTGCCGCGGGAATCGTTGGTGTGGCGAGAGTTAGATCTTGATCTCGTCATGGTAGCAGGTCGTGGTAGACCACTAAATGTAGAATACGCTTGAGCTGGGACAGCAGCTCTCAACTTGATCACCAATGATGGATTTAATTCACCCGGGGTGGCCCGAATTATTAAACCCGAATAAGAATATGTACGAAATAAATAATATAACGCAGTGATATAGTAAGCTATTACAAGACTTGATTAGGACAATAATGCTAGAAGATAACGCAGTGATATAGTAAGGTCGTAGGGACCGTATATTGTATTAATTATCGCTAATAAGCTATTACAAGACTTGATTAGGACAATAATGCTAGAAGATAGTAGTTCAGGAATATGTTGTGTCCTTGTTTAGGACAAGATGGAGGCTTTTATATCAGCTCAACCCCCAACCGCACCCCTAAAACCGGGGGTGGTTAGATCGGCCCGCTTTGACCGCGTCCCCTCCGGGACCGGGTCCAAAGTGGGGCGACTCGGCATGGCCGAGCTGGGCATGTGCCGAGCTCGGCCTAGCCCTCGGCCTAGCCGAGTTCACCATGGACCGGCTTGGCAGCAGCTGGGTCCATGGTGACGAGCTCGGGTGCACCGAGCTCGTCCGTGGCCGGGCTCGGCCCATGGCCGAGTCGCTTTGGGCCGACCCGGCCACGGCCCAGGAGATTGGGCCGAGGCGTCTCGGGTCGGTTCGTTCCGGGTCCAATATATCCATTACATATATTTTATGTTATCCCAACTAAAAATTTAAGTTAATACATATGTTGAGCATTAATATAGAAACAAAAACATTTTGTTCAACTATCAGTTTAGCATTTTAGTTGATATTAAGCATATCCTTCAATTTAATATTAGAACCAAAACTAGACATAAAATCATGGTACCCGAGTTGGACTTTCATTTGGAAGGTTGTGAGTTTGAGCCTCAGTGGAGGTGTTATTGGCTCTTTGTGTTTCAGTAGGTTGAGAAAGTATTTGAACAGTACACAAAATAGACATAAGATCATGGTTCGAATCTCCACATCACCTAATAAAAAGAGACTATGGTAATACAGAGACATAAGACATTTTTGTAATTGTGATTGTGTATTTGACAAAGCTTGAAATTGCATTCGCAGATAAGTAACAATTCTATTTGCTAAACTATTTTCCAAATGCAATGACAAAGCATTTCTACATGCAAGCATTTCTAAATACACAATTGTAATTATAAAAATACCATTGAATTTTTATGTGACTTTTCATTAATTTTCAACCTTTGATCATCCTAGATAGACGGATCAAATTTGTTCACACTTCTCACCTGAAGGGGTTGTTCTCATTTAATCCTAATTCTCTCTCTCTCTCTCTCTCTCTCTCTCTCTCTCTCTCTCTCTCTATATATATATATATATATATATATATATATATATATCCTAATTCTCTCTCTCTCTCTCTCTCTCTCTCTCTCTCTCTCTCTCTATATATATATATATATATATATATATAAATCTTAAATTTAGAAAATATAAATTTCAATGGTACAGTGTTAAGGGAATGAGTTGATATATATAAGTAATGACCAACCATTATTGCGTGGATCATACTATCAAATAATGTACATTCAGTACATAAATAATACTTTTAATATATTAAAAATATATATTGTATTCAAGAAAAGTACATAATTTGAGTATTGAGAATATATTATTTTATATAATGTATATTCAATACATGAAAAATGTACTTTTTGAGTATATTATACAAATGTACTTTTTGTTATGGTATACACAACATTAATTGGGTGGACCAATAATTTGCCGTGTTGGGATGTAAAGGCTCTTGGGCTAAATTTTTTTGCGTTTTGTGAGTTGGCGTTCCATTCATGTTTTGTGGTGTTCATCCAAAATTTGTTAACTAGCTAATGCCAACCCATTTAGTCTGGGCAAGAGAAGTTTAACTTTACTTGTGGGCAGACACTTTTGTTAGGAAATTCCACACACGATTGGTTATTGCTACACACCCAAATTCCACTTGTTTTATGCAGTTTTATCTTTAGACGTCTACATCGTGTCCTCTTGCATTCCACTCTTTGCTACTCATCCACATTTCAAATCTTACAATAATTAAAAAGTAAAAGACAGCATGCATGGAAATCATACCTTATTATATGCACATATGGCTAATATTCTCACTAATTAATAAGGAGTTGGGACCAGTCTATTATTGGTCTTGATCGCAAGCTCACTTAAAGCCTATGCTATAATAAAATACTTCTTGGTCCAAACCAAAATAATCATGATTGAGGACTATTTTGGTTAACAATTGCACAATTGGTATAAAATTGAGAAAGTTTAAAAGTCGATGATTAAAGTGGTGAAATATGTTAAATTAGGAATATTTGTATAAGATTTTGATGAGTCAAAAATATAATTTAAAAAATAGTAGAATCTTCTACTTTATTTTATTTAGTGTCTAGCTAGGAAATTTCTAGAGTTAATTACTTGGTTCAAAATATTTTAAATTTATGGGGAAGAAATAAATTTATTTGTATTAGGACTCTATGTATCTGAGTCTGTTTAGAACTTCTTATCCTTGTCACACGGTGACTCTCTACTTCTTATCCTTGTCACACTGTGACTCTCTATTGTATATATTCACATCAGCTGATCTCATTGTAATTAAGTTCAGAAAATACAATACAATCAGTTCTCATATGTTATCAGTTAGCTAGGGTTCATGATAATTATTATTGCCATGAATAATTGATATTAGCATGCATAATTATTATTTCCATTGTTGGTGAATGTTAAGAGCAGCACGTGGGCCAACGTAAAGTGAAGCAAAGAAATCTTCGAAGTCCGCAAGCTTAGCAATTTCTTCAACGACAGTGAATTTCTTCGCCACCAAGGTTTTCCCACGACAGCAAGCTTAGCAATTTCTGAAATCATGCAACAACGCGATGGCAGTTGGAATCGTGATAGTTCGCATCGAAGTCAGCAACGTGGCAATAGTGGCTTTAATGTTCAATGTCAAATTTGTAATGATTTCGGTCATACAGGAGCCAATTGTTTTCGACGTTATGATGATCCGTGTCAAATTTGTAAAGGTTTCGGCCACACGGGAGCCAACTATTTTTGGCGCTATGATGATCCGTGTCAAATTTGTAAACGTTTTGGTCACACGGGAGCCAATTTTAGGGCAATAGTTCAAGGGGACTATATACACTTTCATTACCTAGTTCGTCTCCGTCAGCGTTTCTTTCCGCTCGTGCCTCGGCTTCCCCTTGGCACAATCGTCTAGGTCATCCTCATAACCGTATTCTTAGCCATATATGTAACACCCCCTAAAACAGGCTCATTAAAACCTTAAAACATGCAGATAACACAACTAAACAACAAACACAGCGGAAGACTAAAAGATAACTGAATAAATAAAAATCCAAGTCATGGGGTGTTATGCCACGTTCACCAACAAAGATGAACGCTACGGCCGAATCTGCATTGTTTACAACTATCCAAAAGTCACCAAAGATCTACAACTAGATAGGCACACAGGCCATAAACCAACGGGAGAGCTATGCTAACAGGCACTAGACTGCGCACTCGCCTAGACATCACCTGAAAGAACACAATAAAACATGGGACGACGCCCGGTCAGTAAGTATCATACATAGATAGGATATATATACAAAATCATTTCGAAACGGAATACATATATATATATAAGTGTAAAACCAAGAGTAAAAACCAACTCAAGACTCATCACTCTTCAAAGATAACACAGGAACACATCCCAATACCACAAAGGACAACAACAACTCAAGGATAAAGACACGACAAATGACAACACATGCCTAGGCGCACACGCCTTTGTGACTACACAGGTCACAAGAAGAGAACACACAACCACGGCTACACAAGCCCTCGTGACATCACACATCATGAGTTGATATGCTTTCCTTATGCTCTGTTCCAACCTTATGGCTACCCCCAACCTTATATTTAGTTCCAACCTTTACCTCCAGGACCCCTATACACCAAGTCCAACCTTATTCCTCCGAGGACCGTCGTCCCCTCTCCAACAGATCTCCAACATAACCACCGATTTCATAGTACACGAGGTACCGATCACACATGGCAACACATGACCTGGATAACACATGTTATCCCCCATAAACACATGAACCTTACACAAAGGCCACAGCTCCATAATCACGT